CTCATTTTAATTGTGAATGGAAAATATTTATTTTAATAAAACATTTATTAAAAAAATAGGTTTTTTGTTAACTAAATAAAATGTATTAGTTTACCAATTTAGTATATTTCATATTTAATTCATAGAGTACTTCTATAGAATCTAATTATGAATTTGTAAAAATTAGCATATAATTTTCAATTTTTTGTTTCATAATAAACTTTTATTTAATAATATTTTTTGCTAAAATTTAACATTAATTTTTAATAATATTATAATTACTAATTAAAATACGAATTAATGCACTGTGGGTTATTTTATTAATGAAAACAATTATTAATGAATTTGTCCTTTTATTAAAAAAAAATTGATTCTTTGTGTAACAGTAACAAAATCAATTAGGTGTAACAATTTTTGAGTAACGAAAGCAAAACCATTTCTGTGAGTAATGAATTCGTCATTTTATTAATGAATTTTTTAATTATTAACGAATGCATTGTGAGGCAAGATCCCATTTTGTCATTTTATCTACGAAGGCAAATCAATCTATTATCGTTTTGGGAAAAAATATAGTGAGTTTGTGAGTTATGTTTTGATTTTTGGCAAAACAAATAATGTGGGATCCATTTTGAAAATAAAAAATGTAGGATCCATGTAGGTTTGCAAAAATATTAAATTTACCCAGATTTATTTAATTATATGTACACAAATTTGTTCATCCAGCTATTTTGACAAAAAATGTAGGATCCATGTAGGTTTCCAAAATTATTAATTTTTTCCAAAAATTATGAAAACTACTCATAAATTTATACAAGTGTATGAATAATTTCTTATTTATTTGTATAAATTTCACAAATATGAAAGCTTAATTTATGATCAAAGTGTATAATTTATTGGGTAATTTTCGTAATTTAAGATTTCACATCAACTTTATATTAACTCAAAATGAGTTTATGTTGACATTTGTATATGAAAAAAACTTCATTGTATTAAAAAATATTTACCCAGAATTTATCTTTATGAAAAAGAAACTTTATGGGATCCACTAAAGTTACTAGACAAAAGTTTAAGTTTTGTGGACAAGATTGAATTTTAGGCCTCACGAAATTATATCTTCAACTTACCAAGTTTCATAGATAAAAAAACGAAAAGAGTCCCACAATTATTCTCTCGCCTTATAGGTTGTCCATTTGACCAATTTAAACTTGATGTTGACCATTTTGTCATTAAAACTTAAAGTTGTCCTACTCTCTTTGGAAATATAAAACTAAAGCTTTGGAAATAATTGCTGTGAGAGCCACATTGAAAACGACAATGCTTCAGAGCTGAAGATGCACTTTCCTTTTCCTAATTTTTGTACGACCATATTCAATACTCCTTCATCTTTGTTCCTGTTTCGTTGGAGGTCTATAGTGATGGCTTGTCGTTTTTTTCTTGTCGACTCGTTAGTTTTATTGAGCCTTGTTGGTGTAGGAAGGTGGAAGGTTGTCTCTGTCTTCAGCTTGGGTTCGATGATGAGTTAGAGCTTTGCCTTTAGGTGTAGTTTCCTTTTCCTGGTGTGTAGTAGCAGTGTTCTCACGTTGGTTCGGATTGGGGCGGATTGAAATTTTACCAGGAGTCGACGAGGCTTGTGTGTTTGATGAGTTATGGCGGACTTCTATCTAGGTGTTAAGGGAAGACAGAAAGTGTGTTCCAGCTGTATCTGAAAGTTATGTGGAGCGTGAAGCGCTCAAGCTTGTCGGGTTGTGAAGTCTTGGTCTTATGTTCTTAGTTGGGGATGGTAACGTTCGGCAGGCCATAGGAAGCAGCGATAGATCCGGGTGAGAAGACTTGGTGTCTTCGGTTCTAGAAGTGGAATGTGTCGTATGGCCTGCCGAGGGCAGCTACGATATATCAGATCATTGCTATCTATTATGAACGTTGGTTGCGCTGAAGCGTCTTTTACCTCTGTGTACCTTGATCTTATCGGTTTATGTTTTAGTTGTATTTCAAAGTTATCCTAGAGTGGGTTCTAGTTGCCGCTTTCTATTGGCTCTTGTTTTTGGAGCTGTCTCGTTAGGCCGCCAGCTTATGTGTGAACTTTTGTATTTCACTTTGGAATGAATATCAAAACCATTGACAGAAAAAAAAAAAACTTTGGTTATATATTTTGCTGTGTTTTTTTTGTAACTTTCTTGTAATCTTGAAATCAATGAAAAATAAGGAAAAATTGTTTTTAGACCAAAAAATGATAACTACGTCCCATTAGGTTAATCTCATATACTTATGTCTTATTAGGCTAAATAGTTTCAAAATGACAATAATGTTCTTAGTTTCAATTAAAAATTACAATTAAAAACAGTAGGTAAATATTAAAATATAATAAATAATTAAAGTATTTTCAAAAAATAAATATATAAATAAATAAAATAATTAAAATAAAAGAAAACATTAAAAGGTAAAGGGTTGTAAAAACAAATAATTAAAGTGTTGTCAAAAAAATTAAAGTAATTAATGATGTCTTGCATATTTCCATTGTTTTATCCATTCACCCAATTGCATTTTGATTATATGGATTAAGATTTAGTCGTTTCTAGATTGGATTTTCCATACATGAGTCTTTATTAGGTATTGGAGTACCCTTGGAATTCTTGGAGGTGATTGAATGCATTTGAGGCTCAAAAGAGGAGTAAAGAGTGATCATCGCACGAGGAGGTCATGGAGCAACCTGCCAGAGCGACCTACCAAGGTCGCTCTCAAGATAGAGCGACACACCTAGGCCGCTCGGCCTTTTGACACTCTTTTGCACGAGGAGGTCCTGGAGTGACCTACCAGAGCGACCTACCAAGGTCGCTCCCAAGCCAGAGCGACATCCCCACAGTGACACACCTAGGTCGCTCGGCCTTTTATCGATTTCGAAAGAAGAATTTACCCTGGAGCGACGTCTTGGAGCGACGTCCATAGGTCGCTCCCAGTCAGAGCGACCTCTTGGAGCGATGTAGCCAGGTCACTGTGCGTCTTTGTTTGGACGAAACTTAAGTTATTTCAGGGACCTTTTGGTCATTTGTTTTATGGTTTTACACTTCCAAAACCTAAGTTTAAGCACCCTTTGTAGCCTACCAGACATCTTTGATCTGGAGGAGAAAACACAAAAACCTCTTGGAAAAGTTCATCTCTTTTGAATCATTTTCATTGTTCTTGTGATCTTGTTTATTTCATTGCATTATCTACTTAGAGGAATCATGAAGATTAGTGAGTAATCCACCTTTGAATTCAGGGGTTAGGGAGATTAAGGGTGATTAGGCTAGAACTAGGATATTTAGTATAGATTTCTCTTATTACTTGTTAGTAGAGTACGCTTAATGCGTCTTTTGAGTTGGCCTCTCAAAGGTTGAGCTTTAGGTATTTCCCACCACACAAGGTGTTCGATGAAATGCCTGAGCCAACTCTCCTAAGCTTTTAACATACTTTACCAAAGACATTTGTTGTTAAAGGTGTTAAGATGGCTGATAGACTTGTTCCTAAAGATTACTACTATAACATTCAACCGAAGACATTTGATGTTTGAGTTATGTTAGTAAATGAGCATTCATTTATATATAGAGCTTGCTTAGAAATGTGTCTAGGCTTAAGGTTGATAGTTTAATTGATCGTTTGCCACCCTTAGTTCAAAGTTTGATTACCAAAGGTCTAATCCCTATTCCCATGAGTTCTCCCTTCTCTTAATCAAAATAAGTCATTTTAATTATTAATTTTCTTATTTTGTTATTACATTCTAGTATTAGTCATAGTTTAAAACCATCCATTATTCGATCGCACTTAGATTAAGTGAGTACTTGCATTCTCACTTTTTCAGTGCTTTGAAATCCTTTAGAATTGGTTCGACAATCATTTATACTACAACATTTGCCTTAGAAGCCTTGAAAACCCATAACTTCAATTAACATATGCCTGTTTTTTGAAAAACTTTTTTTTTCTGACAAATCTATTTTTAATATATGGAAACTGAATATTTCCAAATATTTTCTTGCCATATTTTCGGAACTGATTATTCTTTTCCGTAGAATATGCATTCTACTATATGTAGAATAAAATAATAATGTTTGAAATCAATTTTTACAGGTTTTAGATTTATAATAATGTGTAGATTTTGATTTCTACTGATTTTAGATTTATAAGTAATGTGTAGATTCTGATTTCTTCCAATTTTAAAGAGTAGGTTAAGCGCGGACTGTGTATTCCAAATAATTTTGGATTACTATTATATGCGTAGAACAGGTATTCTGAACATAGTAGATTCAAGGAAAAATAGATTTCAATTTCTACTTCGTAAAATGTCAATTTTACTTTATATAGAACATAATATGAAATTATGATTTAAACATATTTAGAACTTGAAAAAATATTACTGAATTGAAATAGGTATTTCATCAGTAGTTACAATTTTCCAATTTTTTTGTTTGTTTGTAAAACTATTTATTTAATTTAATTTCGAAAATATTAAAGAGCATTAGAAACAAAAAAAAAACACAAAATAGAAATTAGCCTAATGGGACATAGTTACCATTTTTTGGTCGAAAAAATAATTTTCCCTAGAAATAAAGGTAGTTGTATTTTCAAAGGAAATTGCAACAAAGTTTTAAAAAATAACTAATAATGGTGTTTTTTTTAATACAAGAAGCTCGTTGACACAAAAAGAAAATAAAAGAAGCTTACATATTGTTGTGTTATACTCTCTCTATTCCAAATTTTAGAAAATAAAATATTTTTCTAAAAAATATATTTTATACATTTTAAATACATAGTGATGGTAATTTATAATTCAAAAAATTAATAGTGTTTACTGAAGTTATATTAATTAAAGTTATGAGAAATATTTCATATCAGAAAACAATACATTATAATCAAAGTTCAGATATTTTCTTAATATATGTGATATTTCTTAACAATGCAACATTTTGAAACGGAAAGAGTATAAAATAAACGACAAAGAGGTAACACTTTTATTCACTGATACATAAAGCAAAGATCTTCCATCAGTCTTAAGTTCTAAGAAAAGGATAAAGCTCAAACCTTGCATTACAGCTTCTACCTAAATATCTAACTCCTTGTTTTCCATCGCCGCAGAATGGATGGTACAAGGTAAGCCACTGTAGACATACATAGCAACCATTCTCATATAACTCGTCCGTACATTGCATCATTCCATAAAGCTTCTTTGTCCCGATCATCGTATCCCCCGTTGCATACAGTGGCCCCTTGCTGTCGTATCCCAACTTGCTGACTTCAGACAATAGCTCTTTGGTGAAAGCCGTCTTTTTCTTATCGAACATCTCCTTATCTCCGCTCAGGTCCTTTGGGTTCTCCATACATAAATAATTATCGTAGAGGATTCTGGTGTCACCTGCACTGTATGTAGAAATATCCAGTGTGCATTGGTCGTACCATATTGTTCCTGCTTTGTTTCTCGGACATTTCTTACGAAGCTGTCATATACATAACGACACAACGATAAATAAAAATATTGCATTAACTATATTACATATATAATACAGAATTTTGTTTTCTAACATCCCTAAAAGTGTATCAGATTATATCAGCTAAGCCTTCTACGTAGAGTATAAGAATTGTCATCAAAGTCGGATATGAGATTTTGAGGACCATAAACATTTAAAAAGAATTTGAATAATTTTTATAATTTATTTTGTAATTTAGTTTTTATGTACTTTCAATGTTCAGAAATAGTACATACTAATTTGTAATCCGCATCCTGCGCAGAGTGGATTTTTTTCTTCTCAAAACAATTTGACAAACTTATCTTTATTTTATAGTTAGATAGAAATGGATATAACGTTAGAACGACACACTTTTGTTTTACAGTTATTAGTAATTATATATATATATATATATATATATTAATTAAAATTAGTTGAAGCTTTCCTATACATTTGGTGATATATAATGAAATTTAAACTAATAGTTAAGTACATATAACAAATAAATTATAATTCACGTGTGTTTTGTTATTTTGTTTATTTTTTAACTGTGAGTTAGTTTTATGTGGATGTTTTATCATTGTCCATTGTATAAGAAATAAATAACACATTTATTTGTAATAAAAAATTGAAGAGAATAATCATAAGTACATAAGTCAAAATCTATAATAAAAATTTGAAGATATTTCAATCAAAAGATTTTGAGTTTTATTTATGCAGATATTTCTGAAGTTTTTATGAAAATTTCAGCTCTAAAATTCATGCATGTAACAAAAGTTTTTAAAAGAACATGTTACTAGTAAAAATCGTTTTCATCGTGATACATCAGCTTTTTAAAAAAAAAAAAAAAATTCTAGTGATGCCACGTCATGTTATTAGCATGAACACATTAAAATATTCTATCAAAAAGTTCTTATATTTTAAGATATAGGGGATATTAGCACTTTCATGGATATTAATAAAATATATCTCTATAATATTATTTAAAAAATAAGTTTCTTACAATTTACTCTCATGTTAATTTTTATAGTGGTTAATTACAAACATAACCTTAACGAATTATAAATTATACATAAATGAGACTGCTAAAATTATTTCTATTTTGTTTTTGCTTGATAAATTTCTAATTGGGTTTTTAACTTTATTTCTTCTTTCTTTTATTTTTTTACATAATTCACATAGATAATGAATAAAGAAAATTTGATAATATATATATACATACATTTAATTATTTTCTTTTCATTTTTCATAAAACAACATAAATACAAAATTAAGTATCTATAAGTTTTAAAATATACATATTTTATACATAAAAAATAGTGTCACAAAATAGTATAAGTATTTGTCTTTAAAAGACAATAGTTTCTCCTATCTAAAACTTAAAAACTAAAATAATTGCAACAAAAATGAATCAATTTTTAACCTAATTAGAATAAAAATAGTTGTTGTTCATTTTTAGATGAATATATACAACTCAATATACTCAAACAATGAGTAAGTGAATTAATTAGGATTCACATACTCAAAAGAAGAAAACTGTTTAAGTGAATGACGTATTATTACTTAGAGTAGTGTTCTATGTATTTTTCATCCATGTAAATTACAAATGATTGAAAACTAATAAACAAGTGAAAATATATTAAAAATTCTTACAATATATTTTGGTCATAAATATATATATATATATACATGCCTAAAATTTCAAAATAACCGATTATGTTCACTTGTGGAACTCTAAATTAACATCTTTCTATTTTTCTCAAAATAACGTATATAAATTATCCACAATTTTATGAAAATATATATTATGAATACAAGAGAATAAACCAAATTAAGTGCAACTAATAAAGTTAATCAGATTTTAGCTTATTAAGAAATGAAAAATTTATGTTCAGTTGAGATGAAAACAAGCAAACTCATATATCTAAATAATGATTGATCAAATTATTTATAAGCAAAATCAGGTGTTTGTTTAGAAATAAATTTCCATTTGTTTTTATTTACATACATATAAATTGCAGAGCGATTTAAAAATTAAACAAAAAATAATCAATGCTTCTACGTTATATGAGTTATAAATAAATATTTATATCCGTGCATGAGTACGGGATAATCACCTAGTTAAATATATATTATAAATGCATCAGCTTTAATGTCTATTTCTCATAAATTTTAACCAATAAAAATTTAGTAAATCCAATCAATTATTTTAAAGTTTACAAAATTAGTCACTATTAGTTGATAAAACATACATTGAAAATATAAAAAAAAGTATTTTTTGAATTTTTTTTTAAAATATATATTTTTTGGAACATGGAATATATAACTTATAATAATATTTGAGTTAATGCCACTGTTTTACTGAGTTAATACTGTATCTGGCCCTAATTGACATATGTCTGTACTCTGTTCTCAGTGTGTGCGCATGCCCATTTGTATATGTTCATACTTGGCTGCTAATAATATAATAGTGAAGTGATGTTACCCCAGAGAGGGCTGTGGCGAGGCATGAATGACACATAGACCCGTAGGAGTCGCCACGACACTGGAGCATGACGAAGGCGGTATCGGGAGGTATATTTTTGTAGGGTCTATTCATATTGGAGACAAGGGCGTAACCGTTGCGCAAACTAGAGGCGGATATGTTTTTGAGGGCAATGTCGAGATTTTTCTCGAACACACTCCATGGCTTGTATTTCCCCTGGGTGTTGTTGCATGCATGGTGGAGATACTCATTGGTAATGTTAAGGGACAAAACAACGCTGGGTAAAAGGAGGAGTTGTATGGCCACCGCGGCCAAGATAGGGACCGATCCAAAAATGGAATACATTGTTTGTGATCTGTAACCCTTTGGAACGTTTTTGATTAATATATGAATCGTTGAGAGTGGAGATGTTAATATAGGAGACTTGATAAGGATTTTAGATTCTAAGTGATGATGATTCTTTTTGTACTTTGAGATGACTTAATACAAATTTGTTTCATCATCTTAGTTTCTATATATAAGAAATGTTTTAGTCTGTAAGAGAGGAGAGTGGTTAAAAACTTGAGACTTAGTATTTGCGGCGAGAGAACAGGGGTTGATGAAAACGTCAAAGTTGGACAATTTAATTTTTTTAGAACCATACGTTGTCAACCTGAAATAGAAGGCAATATTAGTTCAATTCGGAACCAATCCTGGCCCTTGGCATGTACCAGAAGTGCATTTGCACAAACTCTAACTTTCTATTACTATTTTGGTTACAATTGAAGTTGTTTTCTTAAGTTCAGGACTTTTTTGCAAAAAGAAAATTAATTGTCCTTATTAAGCTATAAATTGCATTGTGCCCACAAATATAGTGAGCCACGACTGTACAAAACAAAACGCACCGCCAAAATTCACGTAGAGTTGAAGGCGAAAAACATCAAGAACAGAATGGAGTCGTTCAAGAACATAAGATTATCTATGGTTTTTTTAAACATAAGATTGGCTATATTTTCTGTATATGTTTGGTAATCAGAAAACTTTTTTTTCTGCCAAAAAAGAGTATTTTCTTTTAAACCTTTCCCTAGACATTATTTGCAAAGTGATTTAAATGATTTGATATATCATTTCTCCAATCACTTTTAATAAAAACAAGTGATATGACATACTACAACTTAGGCATGAGTATTTTACACAGATCCAATAATCTGAACCGCAACCGATCCAAAAATATCTGAGCCAAAACCGAAACAAAGATTTACAAATATCTGTTGGGTCCAAATTCTATCCAAAAGAATCTGAACCAAAAAGAACTGATCCGAATAAAATTGGATCCAAAAAGAACCAATCTGGATAGACCCAACCTGACAAGAACTAATTCCTACCTGAATTAAGAACATGAATATCCAAAACTATAATTATTTTGTGTTGTATTTTCTATATTGTATTTTATGATTTAGTGGAAATATATTTTTGTTAAAAATATTTGTTATTATTTTTGTAGCATTTTTGAGTAATGTGAAGCTTTAAATGTAAAATTTATATTTTTAAATCTTTTATTTTAATCATTAACAGTTTCTTTTAAGTGGTTTGGTAAAATTTTAGATATATATATATATATATATATGACAAATTTTGACTAAATTTGATTGAATTTGGCTATTTTGTGTCATGTTCAGATCTTAAATACCTGAATCCGATCATGACCTGATACTGACCCAAAATTTATGGATGTTTTAGATGTATTCTAATCATAGGCTCGAATTGATCTGGACTTGAGAAGAATCGACCCAAACCCAAACCAAAAATTTACAAGTACCTATTAGTTTCAAATGTTTAAGATCCAAATTACCCGGACCCGAGAAGAACCGGCCGAACTCAACCTAACAACAAACGCCCAGTCCTACTATAAATGATGACATATTTATGGTTAATTGTGACATGGACAATTACATTTACGATTGATTTCAATTTTTGAATAAAATTTGAAATAAGACAATAATAATGATAGAAATATTAATATTTAAAAAAATTAAAATATTATTTTAGTATTTTTATAGTCATACATTTTTTATTACTAAACAAAATTTTCAAAGTTTTAAACCATATTTTTGTAAAATAATAAATTTTAAATATATATCATTTGTTTCCTTTTTATATCTACAAACGTAGAAATTATGTTTAAGCTTATTCTTTTTGATAATTATACAGTTTTATATCTATTTTCAATTTTAGACAAGTTGATTTAATATATGTTAACCAAAAGAAATAAATGAAAACTTTCCAAATATTATAACTTTAAATATATACATACTTATCCTTAAATATAATTTAAATAGATCAATTTATTTTATTTTAATTTTAGTTTTGATTAAATAAAAATTATAAACAAATATTTATATAAATAATAAAATCTAATATATTAATAAAACATTAATTTCAATATAATTTAAACAAAAAAAACCATTATTGTAACAACCTGCCTTGTGAGATCCAAGCTGGCTCTGTATAGACCATCGGCCATAAACCCTCACCTATGAGTCCTCACTGACTCCCCAGGTAAGTTATTGGTGTTTCTCGAACCCAAGACCTCACCCTTTAAAATGCTCCCATATAACAAGTTGTCACCAATTGATCTCCAAAATCCATAATTCACTACAAGAAAACTAAGCCTGTACTAGGAAATTTTACTAGGAAAAATCTTCCTCGTACAATTACTAAGGCCTTAATTCGAGTTTACGAGGAAAGCAAATTTCCTCGTAAGATTCTCGTAAATTTACGAGAAAAATTTTTCCTCGTAAGACCCTAGTAATTTTACGAGGAGCTTACGAGGAAAAAGTACTTTTCCTCGTAAAGCCGTAGTAAATAATTTCCTCGTAAACTCATAGTAAAAGTTTACTACGAAATTAGGAGGAAACGGTTTATTACTACGAAATTAGGAGGAACTGGATAGGAAATATCGAATTTAAATAAAAAACGTGTTTTGTACCTACTTTTCCTAGCAATTTCCTAGTAAATGCTCAGATTCAAAAATTTCTATAAATACCACCTTATGTGATTCATTTGAAACACACCAAAAAAAAATCAGCTATAAGCTTGATCAAACACAAAAAAATGTCCGGTGCGGGAAATATTTTCGAGTTGCGGCAGTGGATGTATTAACACAGAGATAATAAGGGGAGGGTGACGAACGAATTTCTGGAAGGGTTGGAGACGATTATGAATCAAGCAGATTCTACACCACTCACGCAGGAAAGTGGTAAGATGTTCTGTCCTTGTCGGAAATGCTGCAATAGCAAATTAGGCCCTCGTGAAAATGTTTGGAAGCATTTAATAAATAGAGGTTTCATGCCATATTATTATATTTGGTATCAACATGGAGAAGATGCTAGTTGTAGGAATGAAGGTAGCAGCAGTAATCAGGTTGAACCGGTTGATCATTTGCGTAATGAAGGTAGCAGTAGTTATAGCTATGATCATCACCAAGAGGAACAAATGGTAGATTGTGATAGGGTTCATGATATGGTAGGTGATGCATTTGTAACTCATGATGATGATGAAGTTGAAGAACCTAACTTAGATGCAAAAAAGTTTTACGGAATGTTAGAAGCTGCAAATGAGCCAATTTACAGTGGTTGTAGAGAAGGTCTGTCTAAATTGTCGTTGGCTGCTAGAATGATGAGTATTAAAACCGATCACAATCTACCTGAAAATTGTATGGATGCATGGGCTGACTTGTTTAAAGAGTATTTTCCAGAAGACAATGTGTCTGCTGAATCTTATTATCAGATTCAGAAATTGGTATATAGTCTTGGGTTGCCCTCGGAGATGATAGACGTTTGCATCGACAACTGCATGATTTACTGGGGAGATGATGAGAAGTTAGAAGAATGTCGATTTTGTAAGAAGCCACGATTCAAACCGCAAGGTC